CTCACTCACTCCACTCACTCACTCACTCACTCACTCACTCACTCCACTCACTCACTCACTCACTCACTCACTCCACTCACTCACTCACTCACTCACTCACTCACTCACTCACTCACTCACTCATACACACCTCCTCCCTCCCCTCCTTCTCATCCTCGTCCATCACATCATCACTTATACTACACGTCTTAGAACAACCGCCTCATATACCTTCTCTCCTCACACTTCGTTCTTGACTTTTCATCTCACTACTCCGTCTCCCATGTGATGTTCATATACAATTGAAATTTGTAAAACTTATCATGTGGGGTTATCCGGTCCTTTTTTTTTCTCTCTCTCTCTCCCTCTCTTTCTTTTTCTCTTTTTCTCTCTTCAATCTCGAAAAGATCCGAAGTTCGCCTCTTGACACGGCAGCTTCGCTTCGCCCAAGGTTTGGGAGTACGCGGATAGCCATTTGGATGTGGTGGATCAGTCCGGCGAGAGACTGAGGAAGGTCCACCGGAAGATCTGGAATCGCTTCTAGTAACAAGTGCCTTACGAGTAGTAACAATGTTTGCTATTAGAAACAAGAATTTAATTAACATTAAGTACCAAATATAGACTTTACGCCATTATGGGCCTCTTTTGTACAGGCTATACCCTTGGTGGAGGGCTGTACCTCTTTGCTGTTACCTCTTGCAGTTTGCAAGGTTTTTTTGGAAGCGCCTTACAAGAGCGCTTTAGTTTTCATACTTTGAATCGAATTTCCTACTAACGCAACAAGAGCGCTTTGAAAACAGCCTTAGATCTTTGCCTGTACTCCTATTGCAACGAATTAGAATGCTGTTTCTGTAAAATCTTTTCCCAACAGATTCTCTGTTACTAGGAGCAAGAAGCTACTAGGGGCTCCTGGCCTTACTACTAGGAGCAAGACGCTACTAGGGGCTCCTGGCATCGCTACCAACGGAGCTACGTTTTCCTAAGCAAATCTGCAAAGCACTTTGTGGAGCGACCCCAGGTCGTTTCCTCCACGTGCCGCCTTCGCAGATCGAGCCACCCTCATGGAGGGCGCGGCATGCACCCGGACGTTGGGGACCCCGAAAATCCGACGTGTTCCGGGGAACCGGAAAAGAACAACGAAACAAGGAAAACACGAACTAAGAAAGCATCCCCATTGTACTGTGGGTTTTGTTTCTTTTTCTACTTTTGATCTACCTCACTCTTTTCTTTAAACCCACGTTTGGCAACCGAAGGTCTCTAGACCGCACCCCAAAGCGAACCCCATGCACAACCCCCACGCCACGCAACCGGCCGGCGTCATGTTGGCAATGTGGGTTTACACACCATGGCCTCCAACCTAGAAGCAATGGCCCCCAACCAAACAGCAATGGCTTCCAACCCAATAGCGATACCCTCCAACCTAATAGCGATGGCCTCCAACCCAATAGCTTCCAACTTCTATTTTTGTTTACTGTCTACTTGTAAGTGTTGTTTAAGAGTTTGTGTTCTTGTTATTTTCTCCTTCTGCTTCTGCTTCTCCCTTCGACAACTTGCACCCGTCGCCCCGACGTGGGGCGTCGCCGACGGGATCCCAGGCTCCTTACCACTTGAACTCTCAGTTCTGGGCCTGTCAGGCAAGAGACTAGGAGCAAGGACGCTACTAGGAACAAGTGCATCGCTTCTAGTAACAAGTGCCTTACTACTAGGAGCAAGGACGCTACTAGGAGCAAAGGGCATCGCTACTAGGAGCAAGGACGCTTGGACAGAGAGTTGGATGGAGAAAAGGACTTGAATGGACTTGCAGACTGGATTCATGATGATTCATGGGTTTGCTGGGTGGGAGGATAGCGCCGTATACAATGACACAACAGAGATGCCACGCAAATAGCACAGCTACCAGATGCTGCGATGAAACTGAGAAAACAGAGGCCTCGGTGTTTTTTAGGCAAAATGCTAAAGCATTGCTACCGTATTACTAACAATGTTTAATCGGTTGGAGGCCATCGCTATTACTCCTTTCTTTTTGTCTTACTAACAATGTCGAACATGTTGGCTTGTGAGTGGTGCGACACTGTGAAGCTGCAGGCAACTCCAATACTTCGAGCGGCGACTCTGGTCAGAGACTGAGTGATGTGAGTCGTCAGTGTCAGAGTGCGCGGTTTGATTGGCAAGAGAAGGATCATACAGGTTTCCGGGTTTTGCTAGGCTTTCTAGACTTAAGTTAAAGGAACAACTCTTGCAAGCAGCAAGGCAAGGGCCACCAAGTGCCTTCTAAAGATATTCATTTGTCAAAAGAAGCTTTCTTCATAGAATATGCAATTGTCCAACGTGGAAGCTGGTGCCATTGCAATGGCACCACAGGAAGCTTTGAGTGGCAGTTCGCTGGAGATCAAGGCTGGTGTCGCTATGCTCCAGCCTCAGCACACCAAGTGTTGTTTGTATTGCACAACGCGACGACACTTAAGCACCTTCATTTCCTCCACTTCAAGCATGACACAGAAAGATCCTATTGTCATCACATTCAGAACAGAAAGAAAAGGAAGATAGAAGAAACCGACTGGCAAAGAACAACTCAGCGGCTTCACGGCGTTGTTCAAACAATGAGCGTCAGGATGCAGCGGCCTCACGGCTTCTGGAAGCGGCTCGGGAACGTGGGGAGGACAGTAAATGGCCTCCAACCTAATAGCAAAAAGGAACCGGTAGCAAACGAAAGCTCCTAGTAGCAAATTGCTCCTAGTAGCGAGGCCAGGAGCGCCTTGCTCCTAGTAGTAGGGCCAGGAGCCTCTAGTAGCTTCTTGTTCCTAATAGCAAAAGGAACCTAGTAGAAATTGCCTCCAACCTGATAGCAATGGCCCAGCTTGGAACAGTTTTTGCTTGCTTCCGATCGCAATCAGTGTCTTTGTGTTCTGTGGGTACTTTTCCCTCAAGGTGTAGATTTAATCCACAATTTCTTGTTTCAGAAGAGAGAGCATCAAAACATCGGAAAAGCCTTTTGCACTGCCTTACAAGAAAAGCCTTTCTGCCAAGCCACGGCTGCCGAAATCGGTGAATTGTGAAGCCTAGGGGCTCCTGGCCTCGCTACTAGGAGCGATCGGACGCTACTAGGGGCTCCTGGCCTTACTACTAGGAGCAAGGACAGTACATTGCCTGTGACGCCATGTCATTCCCGACACCACCCATGCGAGAGCGGATGGAGTCGGCAACAGATGATGTTGCAGGCCGGAACAATGAGTCGTTTAGGGTGGAGACCATCGCTCTTATTGTGCACCAAATCCATCCAAATCCAAGTAGGTGCAACAGTCTTGTGCATATCTATAGAGCTGAACGGATCAGTACCTCTCTGTATATGAGACCTGGGTGCTCCTGCTGGCTTGGGAAGCCGTGCCACGTCTTTCTATGATCCTTCGGCATTGATTAGGACCTGGGAAAGCGTTTGGAAGCACAGATGAACGGACCTCTTATTTCGAAGGAAGACACTTTGAATAATGGCAGTACTGCCAATACAGTAAGTCTACTGAAAGCATGACTCCAAGCAAACACGAAGATGGCATGTCTTCTCGCCGTCTTGACATTGCTCTGAAAACCGGGGGCGGCTGTGCGGAGCTTTGCCAGAATGGGACAACGTGTAGTGTAGTAACGTAGGAAAGGTACAAGAAAGCACTTCATGTTTCACATGTTTTACAGCGCGTGTGTTTGGTTTCTCAGGAACGCTCGAGAATCAACAAGACCTTTTCACCGCTGACAGCCGGTGGCATCCGGCAAAGTATTTTCGTTTTAGTCCAAACATCGCTCGGAGGAGGCTGGTTGCGCGATCGACAGCCAAAAGAAAGTGCACGTGAAAGGGTTTTCGCATGTATGGAAGTCTCGCTTGTGCCGACAAGTGACATCCAATCGTGAGATCACGGACAGGTATCCTGACAATTGCCTATATGATGCGACAGTCCGGCTTCTTGCTCGGAATCATTTTGTTGCTTCTGGCGCCTCAGCGGGAAACAGTGGGGAGCCTGCCGTGACCGTCTAAAGGAACGGACATTTGTGGAATGTTCGCTTTGATGGAGACGATTAAGAAATTAGGAATGTCATGTTGCTCCATGTTTTTAACCTTAAGACATACATGCGCCAATGTCATGTGAGGCAGGCGGTGTTGCAGCTGTCACTCTGATGCATTCAGCCAACGTAGCACAAGGTAGAGCGTCGATGGCTTGGTGGAATCAAGACCAAAGGCGACACAATGTGATGAGGTGAGAAGGAAGGTGGGAATGACCGGCAGACGGCTGAGGTGAGTATGGAGGTGCTCATGAAGAGCGCTGTACTGCAGCACCGCTACACCTTGGGAAACTTGATGAGAGCGGCACTCGGCTTGTGTGTGTCTCAACTCCTGTTTCCAAGTAGCTCTGCCACATTAATTCACCACTTATTTCCCTCACTTGTACATCGCTATGCAGGGGGGCAGTGCACGACTGACAGACTGCCCAACGAAGACACTGTCAGCTCGTGGTGAAGCAATGTGGGACGCCGCATTGTGTACCTGCACCAGTTTTCATAAAGTGCTAACGCGTGATGTTCAAACATTTCTGTCTTTTGACCCAGCATTCTTGCCGTTGTGTGCGAGCCAAGGGCTACTGCAATCAGTAGCTAGTTTGCCGGAACTTCCAAAACTGATAGAGCTCCGGCGAGCACGGATCCAAGTGTATGTGTCGCCTTTAATGCGAGGACGGCTCAAGAACCCTTCTGAAACTCATGGTTTCGGGCTCTTCGTAAATTCCGATGGTGCTATACTTATAAAGGGCATTGATGAGACAGAAAGAATGATCTGGCAGAAAGGTCATGAATGGTCACGAAAGGTCTATGTCTTAATTTCCTCAAAAATCTAGGTTGGAGGCCATCGCTAGTAGGAACCGTTTGGATATGTTTGGATGATTGATGAAGAAACCGTATAGGTCTGCGTCTTTGCTAGAAACCGTTTTGACGTTTCGACCTCTCCTACCCGTTTCTCCGTGGACTCTGTGGACCTAGGCTTTGTTTTTGGTCAAAGCATCGGTGTGGCATTAGCCGTCAGCTTGGAGACGGAGACAACATGAGACAACAAGGTTTAACCGTTTGAGCTGTGGACAGCCTTGTGCTCCAAGGATCTCATGCTCTTTCTCTATGGCAATGGTTCACTCATCACTTATTTCATCTTCCTTGGCAGCTTGGACTCTTCAAACATCTTCAAACCTACACTTGTTACAATTCCTTGAAGCAGTTCGAATACAATTGTGTGCTTTCCAGAACTCCCGACAGTGAGTCAGAGAGACCTGAGGTGATTTCATTCCGAGTATCGTTGAAGCTTTATCTCCAGGCACTTCAAACCGGCCGCACCGCAAACTACACGGCCGTAGGCCGTAGGCCCTAGATAGCGCACTCGATGCACTGAATCTTAGGTCTGAGGAACAACGGTACTTGCCAACATGAACTCACTCACGCATGTTTGGTCTTGACGCGGGGGGCGCAATGCCCTTAACCCCTTCAGTGTTTTTTAGATAGCCGGCCAAACCCAACCAAAGCCCAAGGCTGCTAAACCACGCTCACACCCTTTTTGGTGCCCTCTCATGCATGCACAAACTTGACTTGGAGACTGGGCTTCACTTTGCTTTCCGACTGAAAACACAATTACTTAGAGGCTCTTGACATTTGTGCGCCATAATTCGCCGTGACCAGGATACTGGCCGCAACCAACTTTGGAGAGCCGCAGCCTGAGCAGAAGCTGTATTTAACACAATTCAGGGTAGTCAAGTCCAAGGCCTAATCCGGGAAACGTTCATTCTGTCCTGAGGAGAGCTGTCGCTTGAAGAAATGCAGGAGCTGGATGAGCTTCGAACGAAATGCCTGGTGCAAACCTCAAGAACTACTTGCACATTTTGCACTGTTTTGGGATGAATCGTCGGCGCATTCTCAGCAAACGTATTCTCTTCAGGTTGCTGCTCTCCTTCTGGTTTTGCTCCCCAGTTTACCCCGAGATCTCTCCGGGCTTCGATATTTGTCGCCGATACTTAGCTTCAACTGGAAGACCAGATCAGATGGGTGAGTTCCAAGATTTGCTCTAGAAAAGAGTTTTGTAGAAACATAACAAAGGAAAGTTTCTTGTTTTCTTTACATTAGGTTCGAGGCCATCGCTACTTAACTGGATCCCTTGGCCAGCTTAGCTGATCTAATCTTTCTTGCAGGATCATGGCCATTGGTATCATCTACACCGAAGCGGTGGTGGTGTGGAAATGTTTCTGGCTCCACCTGCATCATCCAGATCTGACACAGGGTCTTGTCCTTGAGTTGTTTAGTCCTTTTATGTTCTTTTAGTCATGAGACCGGTTAGCTTTAGCTCCTTGAAATACCTTGAATCACAATCAAACGGAGTACAATTGAATCTTGCCAAGGCACCATCAGCGAGATGTTGTGGCCACAGGACGATCTTCTGTCCATTCTATCCAGAAGCGTGAAAGCCTTTAGTCTCTGTGTTTTCAGTTACGTGTGCCATCTGAGCCTTGGATAAAACGAGACAAGCTCTTGTTTCTCACACAATTATTGTGTTATGTCACACTCCGCTCCTACTATTTACCGACACTACTTCCTACACTGTCCACCAGCTACACCTTGAAATAAGTCGTAGACAAAGAACAAGTCAAGAGAGTTGGTGCAGAAGCTACTAGTAACAAAGGGCATCGCTACTAGGAGCACGAAGCTATGAGTAACAAAGGGTGTAGTTAGATTTGAGACCTTTTGGGGCACTGCTCTAAGGAATGTCACACCCGTGGCAAAAGAGCTCGAGAATGCCAATGACAGACGAATCGAAAAGGTCAGCTGGAGACCCTTGGACATTTGAAACCATGTGAAACCATGTGAAACCATGTGAAACCTCTAAGCTCTTCGTTTTTTGCATGTTTTGCAGTTTGCTCAGACTGATTAGACGAACAGTTTGCACCATTTAGGAGTTGTATTCGTTCAATTCGGCATCTATGTGCTCTTGGCAGTGGTGTCCTTGGGAGCCTTGAGTGGATTTGACACGTAGAGAAGAAGCCGCTTCAGGTTGCAGGCTACGGAACCTTTGGTGATGACACCAAGCCAAACCTCCTGCAAAACTACAGTGCGAGTGATCCGTGGATTCTGGCGAGCCGTGCCCCGTCGTGGTGAGTAACAACCGGGGGCAACTAACTACGGAAGAAGACGTTGTGCGTATTGGAGTCAACAGTGCACAGAGTGCACAAAAATAGTGCACATAGTCCATTTCTAGTGGCCGATCTTTCTCATCTCTAAAGATAGAGGAGGTCCTACTCAGTGGGAGTACACTGTTGACAAGAGTGACAGAGTGCTCACACAATATTCACACAATGTCACAAGAAAACCATCAGTAAGTTGGCGAAGTAACAAAAACAACATTGGGTGGCGGCAACCCGGCATACCCATCGTGCAAATTTGCGAACAGATCCAGTCGTCCAGACGGTACAGCTGCTGTCCCAAGGAGTCGGGCTGACTTTTACCGTCCTCGTAGCCATTGCCACCAACACGAATCCCACCGCCGCTTGGACGCTGTGCTCCTGGTGCCTCGTTTTCCCAAAAACACACTCCTCAGGTCCGTGCGCGCGCGAAAAGGTCCTAGTAGAAGACAATTTGCTAGTAATTACAATTCTGATTAAATTCTTGTTACTAGTAGTAAGGCACTTGTTACTACTAGTAAGGCACTTGTTACTACTAGCGAGGCACTTGTTACTAGTAGCGTCCTACCCCCCCCCCACTCCTCAGGTCCGTGCATCCTTGTGCTTGCTGGAGGCAAAATGTAAAAACGGGAGTCATTTTGTCGAAGATTTCGTCGAATTCAGCACTTTCAGCTTATGAACCTGGCAGGTCCTGTTTCCATTCTTGAAAGAGCCTGCTTTGGAAGGTGGAATGGCAAATGTGAGACCAATTAGCTTCTGAAAGCATCACGATCCTTTTTTCGCCGGGATTGGAGGCCCCAATGCTGAGCCACTCTTGAAGACCCCGCCGCTGATGAAGCGAGCTCCCGAGGAGAGGCCCTTGAAAGGTGTGACGCAATACAGCAGTGCGGGGAAGCAAAGAAAACACATGTAACATGTATAAGAAGAGCGAAGCACACTGTAGCAAAAAAAAATACAATGCTTTTTCTTGCTTTGTGCACTTTGCATTTCTTTTATTCTTGTGGTGCCTAAAAGCAAAGAAGACCGATGAATTCAAAGCTGGTCTTGCCACAGGAACCTCGACCGCGGCGATATGTGAGATACTGCTTGAGCATAGCTTGCTTGACCATGGACACCCTCGTAGCTATTTATGTGACTGGGCCAATTTATTGAGCTTGTGTCCAATTGGCAGAAGCGAATTTGGCGGTTTGCGCTTTGCATCTCCATTCCCATTTGTTTCCCTTCTACCTCCATTTGAGTCAAAAAGGATTTCACGACGCAGATTTGAAGCTTTGCCTCTTGCAGTCTTATTCTTGACACGACCATCGCATCGCCTCAAGACTCAAGACGCCACGAATCATATTGCCTCTTGCGATTTGAGGTGAAAAACGTTGCAAGCGTAGTTGGCTTTCTGGGAGCAACCATGGGCACGTTGATGATGATGGTCATCCCAGGGTGGGACCTTTACAATGCGGATGAACAAAGCTACCATTGGTGTCACCGTCATAACATCTTGCATTTCGCTTTGCATAGAGCTGCTTGAGAGCTAATTCAGGTTGTTGGTCTACAAGCTACCATTGTTTTCGAGCGGATGGAGCAACTGAGATTGCACGATGTGACGCTCAGGGCGCTCCTTAAAGGAGCGTGAGCTATTTGTCCTAGCTAGGAGCGAACTTAGTAGCTTACTCCTCCCTTACTTTAGTAGGCGCCTACTTAATGAAGTAGGATCGGAGCGGGCTAAATAAAAGGAAATAGAAGAATAATCATCCATTGGGGAAGCCAAGGTCGATTCTTCATCGTGCTCTTTGCATTCAGTGCCATTGCAAATTGTTTAGCTATTTTCCAGTGACATCTCACCGGAAAGGACACACTCTTAGGGTGTGACCCTACTGGGCAGACTTTTGGAATCTCCAGCAGGGAGACTCTCAAAACATATTTTGGTCATTGGCATGGTGCTTTCTTATTCGGACCAGCCAAGGGGCTCAGGTCCTTTGAGTGATAGCCCTCGAAGCGACAAGAGAAAGAGCTGAGCTTTGGGCTGTGCTTACGCCTTACGCTTTGTCTGCGCAGAATCTTGTAGTTTGTGTGGACACTGTTGCAGGACACTGTGAGTGTGCGCTCGGGATCAAATCGTTATTTGGTGGACATTCGCCGGAAGCCCAGACAGCACACCAGAGTAGAGAACGGAGCAAGAGAAGAACGAGGAAGAGGCAAGGAAGACGCTCAACATGAGCACAATACGTTAAACAGTTTTTTCACCAACCCTTTACGGAGGAAGAGGAAAGACAAACAAAGGTCCAAAGAAACGAAACAGGATAGAATGTAGAATACAAGGAGCCTCTCAGATACTATTCTAAATAACAAAAAGAGGAAAAGCACGCAAACAACATATAGAACGAAATAAATAGAATTAAAACTAAACACATTACAGTAAATATTTAGACAAAAACGATTTAAGATTTGTCAAAGACTTGTTACACTCTTTCTTTATCTCACTCGACCGAGCGGGTCGTCACAACTCAGAAAGGCCTTGAAGAAACTAAGAACACATCCAAGTGGAGAAGAGAACACAAGAAGAACAAGACAAAGAATAAGAAAAGAAGACAAAACAAGAGAGATAAAACAAGACAATAGCATTTTCTGTAATCGATTATCTATAAATTTATTGAACGCATCCTTGTTGCTTTTGAGGTGCCGGGACCCAGACGAACATGACGCACCCCAATCACAGGATCCGCCGGGTTCGACGCTTGGGCTCGAGACCCAGACGAGATCCAGCCATGCTGTGATACATGTGATCGAAAAGAACATGAAGAACACGTATATGGAAAAAACACATGTTACTAATAGCTACTTGTTACTACTAGTAAGGCACTTGTTACTACTAGCGTTGGCACTTGTTACTAATAGCTACTTGTTACTACTAGTAAGGAAAAAAACACATATGTTGGAGAACTCTATTGGGTCGGAGGCCATGCTTTCTCGATATTTTTCTCTCGATGCTCAATGTGCTTGCAAAGGTGCCACGCGAAATGGTGCTTTACTTGCGCAGCAGACTCAATTTGATTCCATCCTCGAGCCTAAAGGAGGGTTGCCTTAAGCACTCGCCAAACGGCTTGGCTTAAATTGTTCAAGGGATAATATGGGACAATCATGTGAGATTCTCGTTTTGTCATGTACATTTCTCACTTTTTCATGTTCTCAGAAATCTGAAAGAATGGTGAAGCAAACTGAAGGCAGCCAGTTTAACATGAGTTCTCGACCTTGGAGTGAGGAACACACACAAACATCTACTTTCCGTGTTGCTGTATTCTTTGTGATAAGCGTTTATTTTGGCAGCGCATGCCCACTGGCAAGAGTACGGCAAGGTGGGTTTTTGTAATTCCTTGGGCATTGAAAAGCCAAAATTTACCAACAGCACTACAAATATCAATCCTGTATAGAAAAACTGTTACCTCCCATTTAGTATGGACAAGATATAAAGCAAAAATACACTGACCATCACTAACCTACTTTACTTCGAGTGATCCCCACCATGACATTTCATGACATTTCAATCTGACAAATTATCTGGCATGTATTGATACATTATTTCGGCATTCTTTCTGGCATATCTTCTGCATATCTTCTGACATTCTGACATTCTTTCTGGCATATCTTCTGCATACTGCATATCTTCTGACATTCTGTCTGACACTCTTTTCTGGCGTCCTATCTGGCATGTCTTCTGACTCGCGGTTGAGGTCCGGCAGGGAACACTGCGAGGAGGCGGCGGAGGAGCAGGAGGCGGAGGTGCCGGAGGCGGACCCTCACCTGACAGGTAGGGAACAAGAAGACGAAAAAATCAAAGATGGCCCATGGTCATGTCAGGCACAGGGAAAGTTGCACACGCTCAACTGGATCATCCATAGGACACGCCTCTGCCCACAACCAGTGTTCAACTTTGAAAGTGCCTATAAGTACGTGTGGGCGTAGGGCCGACAAGGAGAGTGCACTCCGCGAAGAGATGCGGTGAGAGAGGAAGCGACAGACCCAAAAGCACAGGATGAGTCTCACTGGACCACATACAAAACTGGATATTACAATAGACTGTGTCTCCAACATGTCTGTTTGCTATTGGACCAGCTGAGGTTAGAGAGGAACTTCAGTGGGATCGATCGAGGTCCAGTCAACGACTTCACGCAGAAAGTGACAGGGCCTAAGAGTTCACGCCTCGTCGATCCTTCGAAAGCCAGTCCATTCCGGAAACAATTCAGCTCGTTTGTTTGAGTGCGCCTTCGCCGCCATGCTGGTGTTTCTGAAGTTCCTAGCTGTGCATTATTGTGCATTGTAACGCATCCTGTGCTGCAAAAAAACAGAAGAAATCAGTTCAAGGCTTGAACGAAAGCTTGGCGAGGAGCATTTTCGCCAGGAGGAGGAGAGGGTCGAGGGGGCTTTGGAGTCGTCAATTCTTTGCCTAGGGTAGGAGCAATGTTCGCTACTAGGAGCAAAGGGCATCGCTACTAGGAACAAGAACGCTACCAGGGGCTCCTGGCATCGCTACTAGGAGCAAAGGGCATCGCTACGAACGGACCATAGGCTCCATAGGTCCCATAGGTCCCAGGTCTACCGATGCCGAAGAAACCATTCGGGTTTCATCTCGAGCGAAGGAGGAGTCCATGGTTTCAGCACCTTTTCGCTCAGTTTCGGCTTCTCTCAGGACGTTCCATCCCATGACACGGAGCTCGTGTGGAGACTCGAAGGGAACGGGAGGAAAGGATAGGAAGAGGATAACTTGATGAACAGATTCGTAAGAATAATGTATTCGAGTGCTCCTCAGATGCTCCTCATTCCAAAAAACATAAGACCTGACTTGACAAGACCGTTAGCCACTCAAGGCTTGAGAACATCAACAGCTTGCATTTCAGTGCTCATTGCATTCTCTTGAGACTCTTGTCACATCACATCGACGTTTTTCCATGTACGTTTATTTCATTTTATTTCTAAATATAGCGTTGTGTGCATGGGTGACGTTTAACCCGATTCTCTGAGAAGACGAATCTGGGGAAGTGACTGTCAGGTAGCACACGTGCCCAAGCACTATCTGAGGCCAAGGGCACGTGTGCACAGAGCGCTCCACGACTACGAGTGGATTTCTTCGTTGGGAGCTTAGTCATACTGCAAAACTATGTGTGGCTATCCCTTTCCGGTACAGTAAGCGATCACAGAACGTAAGAGGAAGTTTCAGTCTACGTCGAGCACTTTTCAAGCACATCGAACCACAGATCCTGTAAATATGATTTTGCAAGACGAGCGAAAGCAATCCAATCAGACCTAGTTTTCCTTCATTCGCAAGAATACACCACCTCACAGCATTGCGATTCAAGCTTCACGAGAACTTGTGCTGCGTATCTCAATTCCTTCAAAATACCAACTGATTTCTACCAATCGAAGGAATCTTCAAGCTTCTCCTGCTAGGATGGAGAAGTAAATGTCCTTGGAGTTTTGTGTCTCTACTAGTAGCTTCCTGTTACTTAGTGGCTCTCCGTACAAGCTGTTCTTGCAAAGCTTCCTTTAACAGCTCTCTTACCTATCGGAACCGTGACCAAAAGCAGCCATGTTGAGGCTGGCGATGCACAGGCGTGACTGGGGTGTTAAGATAGGTTGACAGACGCAATATGCTCTTGTTTGTAACATGCAATCGTTTTCATTTACTATAACATTACCATTGATTTGACAACATTGTCATCGGCTTCACAATGTCATCGGCATTCATTATCATCAATGAGCCGTGTGATTACAAAAATGGGAGGGGTGGGAAGGGGCATCGATTTCACGACATTATCATCGATTTCACAGAGTGTCATTGGCATTCATTGTCATACAAGAGCCCTGCAAAACATAGAACTACTGGTCAACGAGCTGCTCTTCCTTGCAAGAACCAGGCGCAATTGGTACGGCCAACGCATTGCCACTTTGCATAAAAAGATGTCCAACGAATTCCAGCGACAAGCATACCATCGGCAATGACGCTTCAAAGGGGCTCAAAGTCATTTACACAGAGATGATTTGCAAGCACCGACGATATACCCTTCCTGCTGTTCTTCGACCACAGCACTGCCGCCAATGTTGCTTGACAAAGCCAACAAAGTCCTTGGCGGCTGTGATTCAAAAATCAATGCGCAGAACTGCAAAGTGAGCACGCGGATGCCCTGTCTGCTTTGAGGTTTAGCCAACATCCGGGCTTGGACTCTATGTGTCAAGCGCTGAAGCAGCCACGCAAGACCCCTGTCCAGCACAGTGATCTGTCATGGATGGAGTGGCTCGAGGGCCTAACAAACAAGGAAAAAGTCTCAAGGCGGCCAAAATCGGCGTCTGGCAGTGGATGAACTCCGGGACGACAATGCGAGTAACCCCAAACCCATAGCACCGTGTATGTGCAGTGTTTTCAGAACCTTTTTCACCGCTTAGTGGAAAATACGAGGGCAAACCGGGCAAATACATTTTTTTTGTGTTTGGACCTTAAGCAACAAGTGCAGCACTATCTTTTTCAGGCTTGTAGGCTTGTATCTTGTGTATGCCAAGACACCTCGGTAATTTGTAGGAAGCATATTTGTCAAGTCATGGAAGTCGGAGCAAGTCAATTGAAGCAGGGAACCCAGTCAAGATTTGGCGCCCAGATTGGCAGGAGACACCGTTGCCCTTGGAGCTGCTTGGCAAGATCAAATGAAAAAAATGCTTTGTATTCTTTGCAAACAAAGAGCCTTTTGGTCTGTCGAAAGACTATTGGAAATATGGGCGGCGCATGATGTTTTTTGTTCAATACACATCCTCACTGGAGCAGTGATTCCCATCGTAGAGTTTCCCACA